TATCGGCTAGCGGATCTGCGGGCTTTGTTGTTCCTGTTTTGCTAGGCCCGCACCGTCCGTATAGATCCTCCATCTAGACCCACTCGCCAGCGATGTCAGCTGTTTCAGCTCTGCTCCATGTCTCAAGACTTAGCCAGCGGAAGTGAAAAAGGCTGCAATGTCAGTGTATGGCACACTGCTAGGATAAAACCTATGACTGCTTACCAGGGGGCCAAAACATCTGACCTGCTAAAGCATAAGAAAGTCTGACGTGCTACAAGGACGAAGCTCTAGACCGCCCACCAATGGGTCGTGGTCATCGTGGCACCTGCTCACCGGAAAATGTCGGCATCTCCTCTTCGTGGTGCGGCGAGCAACTCTTTGGAGGACTCTCGGAGGTTAGCATCTAGGATAGATGTGCTTCAGCACGGCTTCCCCAGATCTTGCTGAGTTGTGGTGTGCTATGAGGCTGGCACCAACTTCCCTTCCTAGCCCGTTCCTCTGTGAGATTCAAGGGCAAGCCTCGGTGTGACGTGACTGGGATCGTCGGAGAATGTGCGCCGGAGCGACGGGGTCAGCAGGCCCACCAGGCTCTGCCACTGATTTGAGCCCTGGCTGCCTCAACGACTCGACGACATGGGCCGCTTCGATTTGCTCTGTCGCTGTCAAGGAGCCGTCGAAGCTGCGATGCCCTTGTCAGCTTGAAGCTGATCTGGCAGGAGCCCTGCACTGGCAGAACCTGCCAAGCCCCAATGCATGCCTCCACGCAGCCAACACAGGTCTGATATGAGGACACCGCGGTTCCGACAGAAACCGCTGCGGGCAGCTCGTCGAAGCCCTGGGCAGGTGGCAGGGAAGCGGGGACGCGTGGACGCGGGTGCCCGTGCGGCCCCTTGGGCCAAGTGCCGAAGGCGAAGCCGCGAGGGCCTCTCGCACCTCCAAGGAGCTGCACACGTTGCCGTGCACATGCAGAGGCACCGCCACGCACCTGCTGAGTGTCCAGGCCAAGAGTCTTCAGACTGGACCTGAAGACGGCGAGGATCTCACGCAGTGACTCATTCAGCACCATTTCTTCCTGAAAGTCTGGAATTAGCTCCGCCTCGGCACTGCATCGATCAGGGACGAAACAACCGAGGGCTTCAAAGGGTTTCCCTCGAGAAGGAGCCTGGCTTGCAACTCGTGGCTGATAGCGTGGCAAGCGCCCGTCCAACGCCCACAAGACAAGCCTGCCTTGTCAAGCCCCGGCAGCCTGTAGACACCATTGAAAATTGGATGCAGCACGCCAACGTCAGTAGAAAGGACCTCTCTCTCTGCCCGCTCTTTGCTTTGCTTGGGCCAAGGGCAGTCCCCCTGACCCGCGCATTTGCGCTGCGGATACATAATACGATCATTCGAATGACCCTCCCGGCCGCTGCTGCACTGCCTGACCTGAGGTGACCTAACTGTCTCTCCCTGCCTTCATCCCGAACTCGAAGACTGATCCGCGCTCGCACGCCGTCTGTGACGTTCCGCTTAGCCTGTGACCTTCCGCTTAGCCCTGAAACCTCCAAGTGTGTTTGGCGCTCCCTGCTTGCCGACTTCAAGGTACGAGTTGCACAACCTGGATGTTTGCGGTAAGCTCCTTCCCCTACCTCTCTCTCCCTCTCTCAATCTCTCTCTCGCTCTCTCTCTCTCTCTCTCTCTCTCTCTCTCGCTCTCTCTCTCGCTCTCTCTCTTTCTTTCTCCAGGCTTGAGGGCATGCCCCCGCTGGGGCAGCCTGTGCTGTTGGTGGTGTGCACGGTTTTACGTGCAATAAAGGTTCGAGCTCCCCGCGGGCTGAGCATGGTTCCGTAAAACAACAGGACACAACATATAGTGCATTCTAGTTACACGGCTTGCTCACGCCCCGCTGCTTGCCCCAATTCGCGGATTTGCCGCGAGGACTCTGTGTGCATGGCGGGTGGAAGTTGCAGCAGCGGGGACTTTCTACAGAGTCGGGCCTCGGTCTCAAGCAGGCTAGCGGTACACACATACTAAGTTTGGGCCTCGCTCCGACTCGAAACCTCAAAAGGGATGGGCTCGCCCCAATCTCGGAATACTATGCTCTGGTGCTAAGTAGTAAGGCGGGCAGGTCCTCCTCGTATGGAGTGGTGATCTCTCTCTCTCTCTCTCTATCGTTCTCTTTGTGACTTTCTGCTTGTCCCTAGGTCCTAGGTGTACTGAGCCCGCCTGTGATGAGATTGCTGGACAACTCGGTCAAGCAGTTCCTTGGGTGCACAGGCCCGAATCTGCGAAGCGACTCAGGGGTGAATACAAACCAAGCCCAAGCTCCCATACGCCAACAGCCACTCCAAGCCTGCAAATCTGCTCAATTGTGCAAGAGGTTGTGCCACCGAGTCTTGCTCTCAAGCTGCTACTCACTATCCGTCCTTGGAGAGCGGAGATGCCGTCTGGCAAAGACTTTAAGCCTACGAGGCTGCACTCGCCATCCTTGTGCCGTCACTCTAGAGCCACTCAAGGCACACATATACCTAGATGAGGCCCGAACGATTCTCGGCAACGGACAAGATCCGGAGGTTGGTCATGTATGCAACCTGTCATTCCCAACAAGCGCTGAAGACCAGAAGCGCTGGTACTCCAGTTACCAGCCACTTTCCAACAAAACAACAGAAGCAGGTCGGTCTGAGATCTTCCAAGCCTCCTCTGGCAAATGCTCCAGCTGGTTTCCCATTACCTGCAGGGAAGTCACGTCCTTCCGGTGTGGCCCCCTACTCCATGTTTTGTCGGCAGACTCTTGAAAGGCCTTCAGGGTCACAAGGTTGTGAAACACCGGCGAGCCAAGCGAGCGTGTGATGGTGTGGATCTGGTTTCCATGAACCTCGAGCCGCTGCATCTGAGGTAGCAGCGGCACCTCCTTTATCTTGTTGCCCGGCGCGGTCAGGAGCACAAGCTTTGGAGAAGTCATTCGGGGCAGTCTCTCGATCTTGTTAGCGTCTAGGCACAGCTCTTGCAGCTGTGGCAAGGCACCAACCGACTCGGGCAAAGCCGTAAGGAAGTTCCCGTTGAGGTACAGGTGCGTGAGCCCGGTCAACAGGCCCAACTCTGGAGGAAGTTCTGTTAGACTGTTGGATATCAAGCAGAGTGTGTCCAGCGAGCGCACAAATCCGACCTCGCTCGGAAGTTTGGCGAATTGTGTAGAAGCAGACCTTACAAAAGCAGGATCTTGGGGCCACATACAACCCGTGCAAACCGGATGCCCTCAGCAACGGAATCTGTCTTTTTCTTTGCTCCTGCTCTTGGAGACTCTCATCCCTATCATGGCAGAATCACTAGTGTCACTAGTGGCATTCGTACTGCCACGGAAAGCAGGTGTGCGAGCCGCGTCTCCAACTTCGGTGTGCCTCTTCGACTCTCCATGAATGCCTTCTCTCAGAGGGATTGGAAGACGGCAGCAAGCAAGCCCGTGGTATGACCGAAATTCCGAAGCAATGAAAAGGAACGAATGTAAATAAGAAGAAAAGTCCTTTCTGCCGGACCCGTAGGCCCTACCGTAGGCCTCCGAGACAGAAAAGAGAGAGAGAGAGAGAGAGAGCGGATAGGAGAAAAAACACCATGCACGTGTCTGCACTACGAGGGTGCGAGTTCTTGCCTTGCTCTGGCTGAGGAGAGCCAGGCACTACAGTTTCCTCGACATATGGGATGATTGAATAGCCAAGTCTGCCGGGAGCAAACAAAGGCGCAATACCACCTGTGTTTTGACCAGTGACTAGAGTCATCTGCATTGTCCAGGACCCCACCCTAACCCCCAGAAAGCAGCATGCTTGTAAGCATTCCCCAATTCCCGGAAAACGCAACACACCCGAACACAGCACACCCAAAAACGACATACCTGATCACAACGTGACGCAGGTCAGAGAATCATGAGAAAATTGGAACTTTGCTGTGGCCTTGCGTGCTGTGGAGTTGCGGCGCAGTTGGTCGGCGTGCGGGATTCCGTCTATGCACTGTGACGGATGCAAACGATGCATGGACACGGAACGTGATGAGGCTTGCCATGTCTGTCTCTTCTTCACTCTGCTCTTCCGTGGCTCTCCTGACGAAACACCGGTCACGGAGGTGCTTCAAATGGAGCCGAAGTGCTGGCAGGGCACAGCCTCATCTCAAGGATGCCCTCCACGGCAAAGGTGGCGCTGGGTGGGGGCGGCAAGGCCGGGAAGGGCCAGCGACCTCTGTCGGAGCGAGCCGCATCCTGCAGCCTTTCCTCCTCCAGACTTAGGCGGGCGGCAGCTCTGCGGGCAAACAAGTTCGGGCTGCGAACGAGCAGCTCCCGCAGGCTGTTGGCGAAGTTCGCCTCGATCTTCACCTTCGCCTCGCTGCGGCAACCCTCCAGCACCTCCTCGGTGCACTTGAGGTGACAGAGCCGCACCTCCTCTGCAGCTCCGTTGAAGACGGGCACCCGCACGTGCGGCCACCATTTTTGCAGTTCCCAAGAACAAAAAGGACACCTCTCCTCCGTTGCTTCCTGCTTGGCCCTTGCATCCTTTGCGCGCCCGTAGGGTCCACGCTCATCGCGGACGGATGCGTCGGTGACCATGTATGGGTTGCATCAAAAGCTGAGAGGTTCATGAGTTCAGCGATTGACCGCGGACGAAACTCTTGGATGTTTGCGGGTTCTCGATAGTTCTCGTAATGAGTCTGCTGGATTCGACGGGCTCGTGCCATGCCAAAAGTGCTTGAGCACGTGCTGAGTTTGGCAGAGTCTCACGGCGATGTAGCGAGGGCGAACGAGGACAAACCAAGTCACGATGTAGGACGAAACTTTTGCCGCCCCAGCTCTTGCGATTGGTGGCTCAGCACCCTAGGGAGCATGGTTTGAGTCTCCTTGTGGTTTTCGTGCAGTCATGAAGCACAGATTTCACTTCGGCATGTCGGCTCTAAGGGGCAGCATGTCATGAGACACTTTGCAGTTGCGCCGATGCTTGAGGAGCTTTGACATCCGACACCACTCCTAGCTTCACATGAGCAGCGGCCGGCTACTGAAGTCACCCGAGCCGTATCCGATCGGGTCCAGAATCCTTCCGAAACACATCGAAAACACCGGAAATCCAAGGGTGTTTGAGTAGAGGCCTCGGTGCTGGCCAGAACGCCGGACCTCGGATTGTCAAATCAATGCTGCGGTAACCCTTCAGCCTAAGCTCGGCAACTCCGAGGCAGCAGCGGGCCACTCGACACCTCGCTTTGCACCATGAAAAAAGGAAGGGAACCGGGGGGTAAAGGCCATAGAGAGAAAGCACTGGCACAATCTCGACATGCCTGCAAGGAGATCGGCCGCTGAGGAACCTTATGCAGAGAAGCTTCGAATCAAGACTCTGCCTCTGAGCCTCTTGTGGGTGTTCGTGCCTTTGGATCAGCGGGCGGATTCAGAAGAATCCGTACTGCTTCAGCGGCATCTGCCTAGCACTTGGTCCAAGCTGTATGCTCTGCGCGACATGTTGCAGCGTCAGAAGCACTGCAGCTGAGTTGTCCACATCCGTCAAGCAGATTCTATCGTTGGTGTGCACCGAACGGACTTTCATCCAAGGCGTTCCTGACCAATCACACTCACACGCACTCAAGGCTCAAGGATAGGCACGGTCTCAGATGGCTCTTGCAGCTCCCTGCCACAGACATGGTTGTCTTGCTTGCTGCTCCCTGCGAGATGATATTGTCTTTCAAGTATGGACGCTTATCCGCCGACCCCTGCGGGCGGCGCCCGTGATATCCCGAGAGGTGTCCGCACCCACACCGCTTCCACCGCCTCCACCGCTCTGTTCAAAGAGTCTTTCACGGCTGTATTTGTAGGTGTTTAAAGAGTATTTAAAGGCTGCCAATGTATGCCCGGACCCCACCGCGCCCCTACCGCCCCCACCGCCCTCACCGCCCTCACCACCCCCACCGCCCCCACCGCCTCCACCGCTCTGTTTAACGAGTCTTTCACCGCTGTATTTGTAGGTGTTTAAAGAGTATTTAAAGGGTGCCCGGACCCCCCCGCGCCCACACCGCCCACCGCCCTCGCCACCCTCACCACCCCCACCGCCCTCACCCTTGCCGCCCTCACCACCCCCACCGCCCTCACTGCCCTCACCTGCCTTTGTAGCACCACCCCCACCGCCCCCACCACCCTCACCACCTCCACCACCACTCTGTTTAAAGAGTCCTTCACCGCTGTATTTGTAGGAGTTTAAAGAGTATTTAAAGGCTGCCAATGTATGCCCAGACCCTCCCGCACCCCCACCGCCCCCACCGCCCTCACCACCCCCACCGCCTGATCCTCCCGCACCGGTCTGGGATGTTTAAAGAGTCTTTCAGCGCTGTAGTTGTAGGTGTTTAAAGAGCTGCCAATGTGTGCCCGGACCCCCCCGCACCCCCACCGCCTTCACCGCCCACACCACCCCCACCGCCCACACCAGCACCCCCTGTGTTTGTAGGTGTTTAAAGAGTGTTTAAAGGCTGCCAATGTGTGCCCGGACCCCCCCGCCCCACCGCCCCCACCGCCCTCACCGCCCACACCACCCCCCACCTTCATCCACCGCCAACACCCCCACCATCTCCATTACTGCCACGCCTACACTGTGCCTCCACCGCTTTCACCGTTCCCACCGTCTCCACCGCTCTCACCGCCCGCTGTATTTGTAGGTGTTTAAAGAGTAAAGAATATTTAAAGGCTGCCAATGTATGCCCGGACCCCCCCGCACCCCCACCGCCCCCACCGCCCTCACCGCCCACACCGCCCTCACCGCCCTCACCACCTCCACCACCCCCATCCACCGCCCCCACCGTTTTCACCACCCCCACCATCTCCATTACTGCCACGTTTTCGCTGTGCCTCCACCGCTTTCACGTACCGTGCCGATCCACCGCTCTCACAGCTCTCACCGCCCGCTGCATTTGTAGGTGTTTAAAGAGTATTTATTAAAGAGTATGTAAAGGCTGCCAATGTGTGCCCGGACCCCCTCGCGCCCCCACCGCCCTTACCGCCCACACCGCCTTCACCGCCCACACCGCCCTCACCGCTCTCACCACCTCCAGCACCCCCAGCTAGCCACCCCCCTCACCGTTTTCACCACCCCCACCATCTCCATTACTGCCACGTTTTCGCTGTGCCCGCACCGCTCTCACAAGACTTGCAGGCCCTATCTTATTATTTCATGTCACTTCGTCCGTATCAGGGTTGGCTGCTTTCAACACCTGCTGCCTTCCTTGGATAGTCACCTCTCTTCTTTTGGGGTCGGAGGCAGTGGCGGCAGCCCATAAATCGGGCAGCGCTTCGCTGCCCTGTATGGACTGAGCTATGGCTCAGACGAATGGGCTTCGTCTGCGAAGCAGAAAGCCACGACCGCCTGTGCCGCCGACCCGCCCCGGACCCCGCATCATCGGACCCTCGTTTCTCCCTCGGGCCGCGCGGGGCCGGGCCCGGAGGCGTCTCGGAACGCGCACGCGCTTCGCAGCCATTCCCCGCGGTGTGGCGGGTTTCGGGGCCGCCGCGGAAGATCCCAGGAGGCGAGCCGGCGAGCATCATGAGCCCTCGGGCGCCCGCAACCGGCGCCGGCGGCGCGACGTGGGCGCGAAGTCGTAACTCCCAAGTTCTTGAGTGGGTTGCGGAAGCCCCCTAAGGGCGCGCATCATCAGCATCAGCGGGGTCCGGCGGACGGGGGGTGCGGGCTACATGGAGGGCCGACGAAGGCTGAAAGGGTAAGAGGAGGGGCAAACAGAAGCCGAACCCAAACTCTCACTTCGGGCTGCTCTCTGCGCTGCCCGCCCGTGGGCGCAGCCCCTAGAATACACAGTTGCATTTGTTCGTGTGAGCTTGGGATGTCGGCTTGGTCAGGACAGCGCCCACAGACGAGCATGAAGACGAAAGGCTCCAGCACGGCCGCATGGGTTATGTAAACGGTTCCGGGGTTCTGGGAGCCGAGTACTGGAATCCAGCTCCCACGAATCTGGAAGCATCTCAGGCAGCAACCAGCTTGTCTCAAACTGTCTGCCCAGTCGAAGTCGAGGTCGTCCAGCGCTACCCATGCAGTGACTTCAGGATGATCCTATGCGAGGGCTCGAAAAGAAAAGTTGCGTCCGTCAGGCGGACTACCACTGATGCCGCTGGTGCAGTGGAGTCCTTCAGCCACTTGCCTATCTCTCTGGCACGACGCTCGCACCAGGCATAAATTGCATTCACCTGCCAAGCTCTGGACGTTTTCGAAGGTGATCTAGAAACACAATCAACTCCAGCACACGGCATCGAAGAAAAACAGTGCTTCTAAATCCGAAGGAGCTCTCTAATCTCTGCTCACCATCATTACCCACAGCCAGGGGTAAAGGCGGATGGCCATGCTGGCAACTTGAGTCCCGCAAGTCTTCAGATGTGCAACCGACCTTCTGAATCTCCGGCCTGGCGAGTGCAGCCCACCCAGACAGGCTTCATGTTTACTTGCCGGCTTTGAAATGCGGTCGTCTGAACATGCAAACATATGCAACCACTTGCTGCAGCCATCCTCGGATGAAATATAGGTGTGCTGTCACGGATGTATGGAATGTCCTGGCTGCCGGAGAGCAATGCAAAATGTCTTCGGAAAGGTGCAGAAGCTCCTGGCTCTTCAAGACGGCATTGATAGACGACTTCAGATCGTCACCACGCCTGTTGCAAGGTCGCCAAGCTTTCGATCCGGGGCCGAAGACCGAATGCGTCCTCCACTCAGAAGACAAGACGATGGTCGCCCCAGTTTGCTGCACAATCTGCGCAGGAGGAGCCACTGCTTCGACATGTGGAAGAACAAGACGTAAAAGTGCATCATCAAATGATCGTGGGGAGCGCGCCGCACGAAGGCTACCCATAGCCTGTGCCGAGAAGTCACTTTCCTTCACCTGAAGCGTCAAGCAGCAAAGAAACACATCAGAAACCACAATGTCAGTCGCCGTCCCAAATGCCAAACAACGTCGAACTCTTCTGAGCACCGCACATGACTCTTGGCCTCAGCTCAGGGTTGGAGCTCTTCAGCGGCTCAGGCCAGGAAGGTGGCAAAAATTTTGGACAAGATGAATCGAAATGGCCGGCCAGTGAATTTCAGGAAACGGCTGGCAGCGTGACGCCGTCCACCACAATCATGTCAATGGAACCTTGGGTCCGCTCACTTCAACTAAGCATTGGGGTCTCCGTGGAAGGCGCCAGCCAGCCGGCAAAATTACCCCGTCCACGTCCAAGAAGATGACCCTGCAGGCGTGCGTGCTCTGCTGTTGGCTGTGCAGGGCCGCCGTCTCCACCGCCTCGATTTCTCCGCTGGCGGCAAGGCCGGTCTGGAAAGGTGGTTTTTCACCTCAAAGACGGCTAAGCGGCTAAACCGTCAACACGCACGGATGCAAAGACTTGCTGGGGACTTCACGGCAGCTGCCTGCCACAGGGACACTCTGACTCTCACTCGCCCAGATGCCAAAGAACTGCATGGTGCACAACGATCGAGCCTTAGCCGCCTCGTCCTTGACAGGATCCGGAGGTGGCAGGAAGTCGTAAAGCCTCTGACAATGAAGAACCACTCTCTTGTGCTGAATCAGAAAACTCTGGGATCGGGCCCGCCGAGTGCATCATCGACCTAGTCTGTCGCGGGAGCAGGCCGGCCGTGGGACGAAGAGCGATATAGATGATATAGGGGCTCGCCGGTGCGGCTGCGATTTTGGCCTTTTTGCGGGCTCGCTCGTCGGAGCCTCAGGGAGCCCATCTCCGAGCCAGGCCGCGGGAGTTCCAGAGAGGTAAGGATCACGCCCATGGCCCAGAGCGGAACCAGCCGCGGCTATCGGCCGCCTACCCGCCCAGCGGTGACCTCAGCCGCCTCAACCCCCGCCCAGCTTGCGGAACTGCGTCCGCATCTAACCGAACCTGGAGCCACGAAACAAACGAGAGCTCTTGAACTGAACAGTGGGTGGCATCGCCTCTCAGATCTACGCCCTGGGGCCCGTAAGGGGCAGTACAGGCAGGCGCGCGTTTTGCTCCATCACGCAGCGGGATGAAGCCAGCAGCGAGTTCACACAACCTGCGGAGGAGCCTCATGATCTCCTCTTCTCTCTTTTGTCTGCTCTTCTGTTCCAACATGAAGCTCCTTCAGATTCAAGAATCCCGGATGTCAAGCCGCAGCTCGGAGAAGATTCTACTCACGCTGCCGCCTTGCCTGCAGCAGGCTCGAAACCCCCTCTTTCAAGCCAGCTTTCATGACATGCCAATTTTCAAGGCTCCGACGAGAAGGACATTCCTGGACATATTTGAAGTGGCAGCTGCAGCGAAGTCCGGCGCCTAGGGCTCAGAGCTCTGTGACTCTGTGCATGCCAGCACAGCGAGCTACAGACAATCGAGGGCCGGGAATTCAAGACAACAGCATCACGAGGCAGGAGGAATACACAGCGAAAAGCCTGAGGTGCCAGCGAACCAGCATTTTGGCGCAGGCGCGGGTTCTTGGCCGTGGTGCCATGTTAGGGCCTCCGCCAGACCGCACTGCGCACTCAGAAAGGACTGCAGTGCTACAGCGACTCGTCTCTTCTCGGCATCCGCGGCCTGTCGTGGTCGTTGTTGTGGGCCCCCTTCCTGGCCCTGTAGCCGGCACTGCCGTGGAGGCTGGCTTGAGGCCAGCTCTCTCCCCGGACGACCTGCTACCACCTGGGAGATGACTAAAAGTGACTAAAGCACAGCGAGCGATAGAAAGGGGATCTGAGGGCCAAGCCAGAGCTTGCAGAATCGTCATCCGAAGCCTGGAAGAGCGGAAGGCTCCGACTGGGCTCGCGACTTGTCCAGCCCTCGCCTCTTCGCTACTTTCACCCCCGCTGCTGGAGCTGGCCTGCAAAAAGAAATCTCTCAAAGCCCAAAGAAGCGAAGCGAAGCAAAGATTCTGCGAGTCCCCCACGGAGTCCGAGCTGGCCTCGGTGCGTCAGAGCTGCGAACAACTACGATCAAGACCGCGAGTCTCAGGTCGACGAGTCCACCGAGTCCGTGACGGAAGCTTCGTCTGCAATCTCCGGGGCATCCTCGGCTATCTGTAACCCACCATGATTGTTTAATACCCTGGGCAGACTTGGCCTCACTAACATCATCCTCCACTACGCTTACCATGGAAGGCAACACTCCCCACCCTAACGGCGGGAAACCAAAGTGATCGGAAGGACAGGGCGAGGGAAGTGAAGTGCCGGCAAAGCCTCACCATTTTCTGTTTTCGCCCGCTTCCCCTGAGCATGACCCAAGTCATCAAACGATGGTAACATCAAAATCCTAGGCAAGTCAGACCGTTCACCCTTCGAGCCTGCTCGTACGGAACACACTTCACGTCCCTATCCTGGCGACTCGCGACTGAGTTACGGCACATGCACACACACCAGCTGCGTCAATGAAATGCCAAAGTCCTCTGTCCAGCCCACATCTTTACCATCGAAGAAGTGCCAGTGTGTTTTTGACCTGACGGGGCAGCTCAGCTGAGAAGCGATTCCATGCTCGTGCAGCGCTCGAGAAACCCTTGCAATTGAAGCAATCAAGGGGATCGAACCCAGCTGCCGAAGGCGGTTTCGTGCCACCGTCCTGGCCATAACTCTGCTCGGAAGCAATACCGAGGCATGGGAAGGGTGGAGCGGATCATTTATTCAGGAGGAAGCGGCATCGCCTCTTTTGATATCCGCGTGGCTTCCCTCAAGGTGCAAAACTCTTCTGCCACTGTGGGATGCAGCGCGACCGTCTGATCAAACTGTTCCTTGTGGGCGCCCGCCTTCAAGGCAATCGCCAACCCCTGCACTATCTCGGGCGCATCGTCCCCTACCATGTGCACACCAACAACCGAGCCCGCATTTCGACCTCGGCTCACCACAAGCATCTTGATTAAAACCATCTCTTGGCCAGCGCGGCCAGTCGGCATCGTATGCTTCAGCGGCTTGAACTCGCTCATGAATACTTTGACTTCGCCAAACTTTTCCACAGCCTCAGCCTCAGTTAAGCCGCATGTTGCGACAGGCGGCTGGCTGAAAACAGCGCTTGGCACATTGTCATAAATTGGGGTTGTGGGCGTTCCGCCGAACAGTGTCTCCGACAATGCCGACGCTTCCATCAAAGCCACCGGCGTCAGGCTCCGTCGAGATGTGACGTCTCCGATGGCAAAGATGGATGGCACAGTTGTTCGACTAAACTTGTCCACCACGATCCTGCCATCGACAGGGTCTATCTCAACCCCGACCGCTTCCAATCCAAGATCTTGTGAGTTCGGGCGACGGCCCGTTGCGAACATAACATTGTCAGTCTCTACCACCGTTCCTCGGTCTGTCCGGAAAATCAGTCCTGCACGGCTCCGCTTGATGCTTTCTGGCTTCTCGTTTGCATGCAAATGGATGCCTCGTTGCAGCAGTGCACGCTGCAGATGAGTGCGCACATCTGCATCAAAGCCGCGTAGGGGCTCTTCTGCCCGAAATACCAGGTGCACCTCTGAGCCATAACCGAAGAAAAAGCTGGCAAACTCCATGGCAATATAGCCCCCACCGACGATCACAATTTTCCGAGGCAAGCGCGGCAGGTCAAGGGCCTCGTCACTCGTAAGAACGCCGGAAAGGTTTGCTCCGGGGATCTGAGGAACCACAGCCCGGCTCCCCGTCGCTATGCAGATATGTTTCGCCTTCAGAAGAGCCCCGTTGACCTCGACAGTGTGCGGGCCAAGCACCCGCGCGTAGCCCTGGAAGACTTGCACCTTGGCCTTCGCCAAGAGCTGCCGGTACTTGCCACTCAGGCGCAGCACTTCCTTGTTCTTGGTCTCAATCAGCCTTCGCCAATCGAGGCGAGGAAAGCGGCGGCCCAGGCTGCTGGAAAAGTCCCAGCCATAACCAAGAGCATCCTGGAGCTCATCGTGGAGCCGGCTTCCGTAGACCAGTAGCTTCTTCGGCACGCAGCCACGTATTACGCAAGTCCCACCTAGGCCGCCAGCCGAGTGCTTCCCACTGACAACGGCAAATGGTAGCTCAGCAAGGCCAACCCGGGCACCGTGTTGAGCACTGAATCGAGCCAGGCGCACACCGGCACTGCCGCCCCCAATCGTAAACAAATCATAGTCGAAACCCTCTTGATCACTACTCGAACCAGTGAGACCAGAGTTCTGCAGCAGCCAGCGGCCGGCACACAGCAGCAGGCCAAACAAAACAAGCTTCGGTGCAACCCCCCGCACGTATCTGAGTCGGCCGGGAGCTTCCATGAACGATGCGCGCCCTCAAGAATGGGGCCCAAGCCATTGCATCTGCAACATGGGGAGTATGAGCCCAGCCATGTGGAAGGCGGTGGTGGTGCGGTGGTGGTGCGTGAGACATGGCAAGCAGTCACCAGCAGATATACATGCAGCATCATGCAGCTGCATGCCTCAGCAATCCCCTTGCCAGAAACCTTATCTGCAGTCACTGCAGTCCTTGACCTTCAGGAAGGCGAAGTTCTTGTGATCCCCCAGGCCCTGTAGGCAAAACATGTCTGAAGCACTTTCGACTCAGCATGCTTCATCTCCTCGCTGATCTTCCACCGCGACTTCTCCTTGGAGTAGAAGAGGCATCGACGTGCTTCTTCCCCTGGCTGTGCCACCGCCGAGCCATCTCTGATCGAAGCCCCGGTTATGATTATGCAAGACTGTCATTCGAGGCACCTTTCTTGCTTATTCTCTCATAGGCGTGGTGACCCTTGTATCCACCCTCCACTGCCATGTAGACACCATTGACGGTCCTGCGAAATTTGCTGTTTCTATCAAAGCTGGCAGTCCAAATTGGAACAAATGCTTCTGGGGACATGGCGAATTCTTTTTGTTGCTATCTCGCCTGAGAATCTGCAGCCATGTTGTGCCACATGCTCGCACGAACGCATGCTTGTGCTGGCAGGTCGCCCTGAGATTTCGAGAGCATGAAGAAGCTTGCCCTGCTGCTGCAGCCGCTCAATTACGGCCTCCTGTCAAGATCGCACGACATCTGCCTTTGATTCCAGGTGAGCCATCACGAGAATACCAAAGGATTTGGCCCCCGTGCAGGTGGAATTGTGAACTGAAGACTGAGGTGCTCTTGAACAAAAGGACACACTGGACACACATAATAGCACTGGCCCCGTCCCTGCTAGCTGCTTGATTGATCACGGCCACCTCCGCATCAGTGGACTTTGGCCGCTTCCGTGGTGGCGGCGGTGGCTTCTCGACGGCCGTGGTACCGTTGCTGGCGGGCACCTTGGGGGCGCCGCCTAGCCTGAACCAGACAAACAGCAACTTTTTCTTTCCAGCGTTCCACCCATCGGCCTTTTGTAAGCTTCGTTCCTGTACTGCATCACCTCCTCTATGCTGACGCCCTGCCTTCAGGGATGAGGGAAATGCCCGCGACACATCACATTCCGGCCACAGTTCACGGCAAAGTCTGTCGGCTGTCGTACTGAGGCGCGAACTCGAACTTGTAAAAACAAACTCCTCGGAGGCACAGCCCGAGGTGCAGCCCGAGGCACAGGCGACCGGCTTGATAATTGACAATAAGAACAGCACGGGCGATGCGCCCAGCCGCCTGCTTCAGAATACATGACTCATGTAGGTAGTAACTGGATTCAGGCTGCCAAAGTGTCCTCCGCGTTTTTGGCTGCAGCGTGGACCGTGGTCTGGAAGTGCTTCTTGCTAGCATCCGGGGTCGTGAAAGTGTACGCCGCCTTCTTCTGGTCGAACCTAACCTGCCGAATGCAACGGCACCACAAATGCCCGTTTTTCCTGGAATCTCTCGTCCCTGCCTTCTGATGTGCTGCGCTATCAGGAGGCGCATCCTTGCCACAAGATGCACGAATGCGGCGCCAGCATAGCCCAGCAGAGCCGCACACCCCATCAAGCGGCTTAAGAAGAACGCACGGGAGCAATCGAAACGGAGGCTTCAAACGAGCCCTGCAGTTCTGCCTCCAACTCATCTCCTCTCGGAGGTGGATTTGCCTCGACATTCACAGCTGAGATCTCAGCTGGAAACACCACTGCCGCACAACTCCCAAGACAGAGGTTGCCCTCCACAAGATTTCACGCGTGATGCGAGCCTCCGGGGCAGCCTGAGAAGCAGGTGTGCCTTTTGATGTGACACCCGGCGCTGCCTCTCAGGGCCAACCGGCAGAGAGAAAAGACTGGCTAGACAGGTTACACACACAAGCCCGAACACGGTCCCAGCAGGTTGACCTTTCAGCCCCGGGCAAAGTGCTTCACACATGGTTCGGATTTTGGTTTCCCCTCGCCCTTGAATGAGCAAAGGTGAGAAGCACCTGGCCAGCAGCAGCCGCTACTGTGGCTCCGGCAGCAGCCTGATACATCACCGGATTCTCATGACTCCCCCATCCACACTTGCGGAAGATTCTGCATTCTGCCCTAATGCCTTGACGCATGACCTGGTGGGGTGAGATTGAACGTTAGACGTTAGAAGACTACCTTGATAAACTCCGCGTCTCATTGTCTCACCATGCCAATACACTGTTGATACACTGGCAGATGGTTGGACTACTCTCTCCACGTTGGGCTACTGTAGGATGGGAAGCGAGGCGTGGAGATGCAGGTCCCTCCTTGTAACTGTAGTTCTTCTGAAAGGAATTGCAACGGGCCTTCTGCAGACGACTTCTGCAGTGCCTATGAAATTCTATTCCGCACTGCACCTATCCATGCTGCCTGGGCTCGAAGCCCACTGTCCACCACTCTGACCCAAAGGCAAGGACCCGTCCACGACTATGATCAGCCGCAAATAACTTCCATCGATCTCCGAATGATGTACTGGGGGCATACCGAAGGAAGCTTAGGTACCAGGACTGTACACTCCCCAACGAATCAGGCATGGCCGGATGCCTGAGCCTTTGGAGCGACCTCCCACAACTGTTTTGGCATTGCCAGTGGCTCGCCACAATCGGCCGCTGTCTTTGCCCAGTTGGCACAAATGTCGAAAGTATCTGCCTCGCAAGACACGGGCTACTTGTAGCGGCACCAAGGAGGACTCCAGACGAGACAGGGCAGGCCTCGTCTTTGCCAGTGCAGCGATTACAAAGCAGCATGCGAAGCTGCCTCAGGATCGTTGGACCAGTCGTTTGTACACAGAAGATTGAATTGGGATTACGGATCCTCGGGCTCGGGTTCTCTCTCTCTCTCTCTCTCTGCCGTGCCATCATCAAGTGTCTCGCAATGCAAGGGCACGAAGAAGCAGGCCAGAAGGGTTGGCGGTTGCAACATTCGGGAGAGATTCGGCGACCCTGCCTTTTGGCATTTCACGAAGACAATCAAACCCTTGCAACAACAACAGACTTCAAGCACATTGTGTACCGGCTACCCGTTTGCAGTGCATGTGTGGCGACTGGCCATGAAACCGACAAGCTGCTTTTGATGCTATACCTTCCACGGTGCATCGTGCATCACGCATCGCACCGGTCAGCCGGGACACTAAAGTGCATCAGCCGATACTGCCCCGCACGACGACCGCGAAGAAGTGCAACACAGAAACTTTAGTGCTAATCGCCTGAACGTGTAGGTGATATAAATACCACGACGACCAAGACCAACACGGCGATCAAGACGGCCAGGACGACAAAGACGACGACCAAGAGACCATCAGCACCCACCAGAGACCAGCAGGAATCATGAGCTGTCCCGCAAAGGTGGCATATGCATTGCCATGTCGTGCAATGAATCTGGCTCTCCGGACAACGGTTTCCAGCAGATCCTGTGGGAACACTAAGCAGGACGTGGGCGCAAACAATGCACCGAGCAGGAGCCATGTCTCAGGAAGCATTTTCAGCACACGCCGTACGCCGACCGTGCGTCCCGCGCGACCACACTAATTGATTCTTGTTACTGTTACTTGTAACGACTGAACTGGGAACACTGTCAACAACATGATTCGAATTTTCAGGAATGGCCTAGTGGACAGCGATACGAGAATCCATCATCGCACGTGCACGTGGAAGAAGATGCCGGACTCAAACCGAAGGCTGAGGGTGGCACTCGACGTCTTCTCTTGGCCTTCCGTCAATGAGCCTGGCGAAGTCGTGCGCTCCGAGAACGAACGTGCAGCGGTGAAGCAATTGCGCAAAGCCGACTGTGCACCACAGATGCGCAAAATCTTCCTCGCATCCTCCTCGGCCGCTCTGGCGACGGAGAACCTAGACAGACCGGAACTGTTGGGCACAAGCCATGCTCCCTCCTCTAAAGGCAAGGCATGTAGAAGCTGCACGTGCCGAGACCGAGCGAAGAGAAAGAGAGTAGATTTGATGCGTGAGCTTCGACTTGTCGAAAACTCAAGGTTCCAGCGGTGCTGGCCACAAGTGAAACAAGAATGGGCAGGTGCATAAATTCTGGACTCGCTGTCCAAATGCACAGCTGGTGGTGGCAGAAGCACGTAGGTCATCATCAAAGTCTCAGACAATCCGCGGCAGGACCTTTCGCAGTCACTGATCCGGGAGTTTCACTTGGAAACACATTCATAATTCAGCACAGCAGCTGGAGATGATTGTGACTGCTGGGACAGGCGACAAGGCATCTTATGAGTCCTGCATCAAGGAAAAGTCTCTCTTTTGCTCCCAGCAAATCGCAAAGACGTCTTAGTGACTTAGTGCAGCCAAGAAGCATGGCGGTGGCTGCCTGCATTTCGGCGTCGCATTCACGAAACGGAGAACACGAGCACACAATGAGCTGCATGAGAGCACTATCCTGCCTGGTTCGATTGCTCCTCACACTTGGCAGTGCTTACTTGAAATACGGGTCGCATGTACAGCAAAACTCTTGCATTCCTCCAATGGTTCGTCTTCCAGCGGATCCCAAGAATCCAAGAACTGCCTCACAACTCAGTGGAGCCCTGCTTGCAGCCCTGCAGCAGCCCTGCATCCAAAAGGCAGCTCTTCCAGTTCGATGGTCTTCTGACCATCGCCAGAATCCACATCCAGGCATTTGAACAGCACTTGGACGTTTCCTGGAAGCATCGGAAGCAAGGTCTTGAAGTCTATGTCGGCCACGCTGCAGAAGTGAGGCCTTTCCAACCACCACTTCGGCAGGCACGTCGCAACTCCGAGAACCTCTCGGAAGCCCATAGCAGAAAAAGGTATGCCTTTCGCAAGTCACCACGAGACAAGGCCCTGAGCCAGGGACGAAACTCCTCCGCTTCGGTCCTTCAGAGCATCTCACCCGCACCAGGCGCAGGCGCAGAACGAAACATTGCAACCACGCCTTGTCCATCGACCTGCAACAGCGCTATCAGAACGACAGCGAATGCAAACACTAAATGCTGACTCGGTGGCTTGAACAGATGCTCGAAGGATCCGTAGTGCACATCACACCAAGCCTGCCATAAACAGACGCGGGTCTGAATATCCTTCATGCAGACTAAAATCCTGTAGTGCCTTGAAGGACGTCAAGATCTTGGCGCTGGCTGTATCAAACTCTCGGAGTGTTATAGTGCCTTGCAAGCATCCATTATGCACCACACAGAAATCGAAGCGAATCGAAGCGCAGCTGCCCTGGCATTGATGCAAGTGATGTGTAATCGAAAGACTAGAAAGGACCATAGGCAGCGTGCTGCAAGACGGGCTTCTGCAAGATCGGCCATGAGAACCAGCTCGCACTTCCAGGAAACATTGGGGGAGCTCCGGTCTGCTCAGGTTTCTCGGAAATCGCTTCTTCCCATCTCGCACTTGCATACATGCAGGGCCTCTGCACTCCCCCCCCCCTTTGCCCACCGGGTGGAGCCGTTGGTCTTCTTGGTTGGCTGCGTGCCCGCGCTCGGCTTCTTGGTCCCATCGGTAGCAAGCATGTCATCTGAACCCCTCCTAAAAGTTAAACTTTTAGCCTACTAATTATAGTTCATAGAAACCCAAACAGTTAATGTCTTAAGAGAGCCAACCGGAACAACACCAAGTTGCAGTGATCGGCGCTCTACCAGACATAGTTGTGTTCCCCTGTTGCCCTTGCAGATGGTGCACTGTCCCTATGGTATAGACTTCGCTCCGATGCGGCTCTCCCCTAGAAGTACTGGCTATCACGCAGATCATTGGCACCCGTGTGCTAAACTGAGAATCCCTGTCCGAGGCTGCATGAAACATGCAGGTCGAACAGGCAAAACATACAAGCTTGTTTAGGTATGAACACCAAGCAAGGCGGTCTTGACATTGAGCCGTCATGAATGGACGCAGATCAACGACGAATCTTATGGAATCTTAGGCGTAAGACACCCGTCGCCTCCCTGGTTCTCCTGGTTCCACGCCTATGGTTTGCATAGTGGATTCTGTTCCGGTTCGCGGTTCGCTGGGTTGTCGCAGACAGCCCTGGCACTGGAAGTGTGGGGGACAGCGGGCGTTGGATACCACGGGGTTTTCTGGCCAACCTGGGCACACATGTTAGAAGAACCTTGCCAAACAGCAAACGCACGGACGCGCGCTTCGAATGTAGGCACGGTCGCCTGAAAGGTCGTTGTCTAAGGTTCGCCAGGCTCCGCCCACGTTGCCTGCAAACAAAAGGGCAAATGTTCGAACCACTTTTAAGACTACCAAAGGCGATCTGGCCTTGGAAACCAACCCTCCTGCAAGCCTCCTGTCCATGGGTATGAGCAGTTCTGCTGTGCACCCAGCTGATCCTACACTCGGAGGACGGCGTCCTTGAATTCGCTCCAGGACACGCTGTTGGAGTCCTGGCTGCACAAAGCCGCGCGAAGCGAAAGCCAGCCTCTTCTGTGCTTCTCGGCTCGGCCCGCGACATCTCGGTCCAGAAGGCCGCGCCAAGCGGCCAACGGATGATCGAACCCTTCCGGTACAGGCTGGTAGATTTTGTAGGAACACCGAGTAACAGCACACCCTGCAAAAAAAGAAGCCAGCATGATGCTGAGAAGCGCAGGAAGCGAAGCCGTGCAAGAGACCCGACCGAGGACCCCACGCCCCATGATCAAGCGCCGGAGATGCACCTCGTGGCAGTTGCAGTAAGTTTGGACAGGCGAGCATGACTCAGAAGGCCCGCGCCCATGCTTCTGCATCCGGCTCCGAGTAAAGCCATTCTGGTGGATCCCAGGCATCCAGCCACTCCAAGTCTGATCGAGAGAGGAAGCCGCAGCCGAAGTAGTCCAACCTCTAGCGTCCCGGAGTCTGCACAGATGGGCTGCCCAACAACTACAGTAAGCACCTGGCGATGCAAGCAAAGCTGCCCGTGTGCCTTGATCAAGAATAGGTCGCCAGCCAATTTGCTTTACTGCCTTGCATGGCAAACTTGCAAACGTTGGGCATGCTCTGCAAAGCATTGCTTTTGCTTGTGACGGATTGCCAATTAAGGCCGGGTTCCTTTGCGAAGGCATTCACCAGCAGTTTCGTTCTGTCAGGTCAGGCGAAAGGCTAGCGGCTAGCAGCCGGGCAACCGACAACTGAGACAGCTAAGCACAGCTTGGCCTTGACACCCAGGAGCCTTCGGACTGCAAGTTCGAGAATGCGTCCGCGACCTCAGGGTCGAAGCGCCGAACCTAGGCCCCCTGCCTAGCCTGGCACTGCTGAGGCGGCGGCTGCCTCGTGTTCCCATGCCGAAGCACACGAACCCAGTCTGCCTGAGTTTTGCGAATTGCAGCTACCGTAACCACCACTGCCTGGGCCTGCGAGCCGCACCTCGAATCCATGTTCGAAAGCAGCCCAATGTGGCTGCCGCCTGGGGTGCAAGCTCCTGGCAAGTGGACAGAACCCCGCCATTGTTTGCCTTGCAAGGTTAAGTTAACACGAAGCCTCCAAGCCCAGGCGACCGCTACCATCCTGGAGAAACGGTGGACCATGACTGCAGCTTCGGCTGAACTGGTGACTAGCTGCTTGATCCAACCCGGTCGAGGGAGCGCCAGAGCGTCTGCAGGTCGATGCATTCGCCTTGTGGGACACCACGTGGGTCTCGGCAAACTCTTCGAGCGGCCGAGAAGCGGACGGAGGTTCGTCTCGTGGCGGAACCATCTCCTCGCCAGAATGTATATGGTTGCAAGAAACTTTGTCACTACCAACAATGAACGGCATGAAATTAAAACTAAACAGACGGCATGTCTCTGGTCGGCGTGTCACCCTAAAGGAAAGTAAGGAAAGTGTCTCCAACTTGTCATCATGCAGCAACTGTACCAGAGCCATTGCACTGGATGCCCTTTAATCCAGAATACACCGCCAGTGCACAAGCAGAAGAAAACGTGTCCACATACACCAGCTATAAAGCCCTCTCAAATTTGGTCCAACCTTCAAGACCATCTTAGAACCTTGAACAGAAAGGCCAAGGACCTTCTGCATGAGACGGCCATGCCGGAAGACCCCCCCGATCTTAAAACGAATCAGAATCAAAACCGAACGCTGAATGTGGCCGGGTCTTGAAAGTTGAGAGCGTGAGCTGGAAAGTCGCCTCGGCCATTCCGGAGATGACAAGATGTCATCTGGTCACAGTCGCAAGCAATATCGTCATAAGCAATATCGGCGAGGCACATCGGGGTCCAAAGCCCTTCTCCATGCGCGCACCTGCAGCATGGCAGATCATGGCTTCAGGAGGCTCTGCACGACTCCACGCATGCCTCCGAGCCATAGCTCGCTCGGATATACTCCAAGAAATGCTGACGAGCCTGAAGCAAAGACACGTCAGCGCGTCATGGGCCCAGGGCGCAATGGCTTGCTTCTCTTTGGAAGGGCTGCCGCATCCGGCTTTCCACGCCTCTTGATCCCCCCTGCTTCTTCTGGTTGAGGGCTGCATCCCTCTGTTTTCATTTTACCTGCAACTTTAGCAGCCTGAACATCATTGTCTGGATTACGATGTGCAGCCGAGTTCAGCGTGTTGAAGGCAGAGTGGAGTGATGGAGTTTGGAAGCCGTTTTTTCTTGGCGAGCGTCAGGCTTGTTAACCATCACTCCTTCGACTGTGGGATTTGCGACTACTTCGTCCATGATGTCCTCGCCATCGCTCTTCTTAATGTTCAGGGCTTGGGCTTCACCGTGACCGTCGTGGGATCACGATGCAAACAACATCAAGAAGGAACATGGTGGTTGTCACTTGACAGACTGCGATTCCAATTCCACGTGCAGTACGGCATTTATGATGTGTCGCTCCGGTGGAACGCCGCCAGCCAAAGATAACTGTTCTTCAGTGCACTCCCACCTCGGCGTTTTTGCTCCTTTTTTCTTGAAACCATGACTGGTTCCTGCGGGAGATCACCTTGGTCCATGGCAAGAATGTCGCCCTCCACGCAGGCAAGGCCTCCTAGTCCCTGGCCTGTGGCAGGGTCTCGAAGGCCCGGTCGTGCCAAGGACGTGGGGCCAGCCTATGGCGGTTTGAGATGCCAGGACGTCCTGGCAGGCGGAGTGTGTGGTTTGGGATCGCAAGGCGAGGCAGAACAGGAAAGGGCATGTTTCAGCCAAAAGCGAATTATACGAAAGAGTGGTCAATTGATGCCAGGCTTGCCGCGGTCGGCCTTGTAAGTCTCTGCCAAGAAGGCATGATGCACATCCTCGCAAAACTCTAAAAAAACAGCACACGCGTCACATCCGACAAATGTGAAACACGCTTGCATTCGTGCGGTCCGTCCTCCTTGGCAAACTTCAACTGGCTTTGCCTGATGGTCTCTCGCCTGGAATGCACGTGCCGACACCAGCAAGCACCGTATCAGGGGCAGTCACGAAGTATGTTTCCATGCTTCTCGGCTGGTTGTGGCTGCGCTCCTGTGACATTCGAAACAATTGTCGCATGCCACACTTCCTCGTCGTCCAGCTTGGCTTGGGAAGCTGGTGCAATGGGCCTGTGGCACACTATAAGGTTTGGGACGGCACCTCCGCGCAGGTGAAACTGTTTACATCCACTGCAAAGATTGCTCCATGTTCCCCTTCCTCAAATTTGAGCCAAACCAGTGGCATTTTCCATGAACTTCAAAGATTGCCCAACGTTCTCCTTCTTGATTTGACCAGAACCAATCGCGCGTGACATCTTTCGGCATGAGCTTCCCAGAAATAAATCCTCGACCCGTGTCTGAACTGACCGTGACTGGCCTTGGTGTGAACCAGTTCTGAATCATAAATGCATGTTCATGGTGTCATGAGAACGACGGATGTGGCTTGTTGTCTTTGAACTTGTGCAGAATGCTGTTTACTCTCAGGATCATACGCTGCATGGCCCTTGTTCGAGAGGAAACGACGAAGCAGGCCAGCTGGGCAGCTTCGAAAGACAACGCACATGAGCTCTTCAGTCTCCTCTGCTCATTTGTTGGTGTTCCGTTGCTGCTTGCAGCTGCACATTTGCCGAACATCGCGACATTGACAGGTGGGGTTTCGACGAAATTCATGACCATCAACTAAAGGAGTGTGTCCACCTGCCCTTTCAATCGGAGGTCATGTACGGATTCCAGTCCACGATCTACTCTGCTGGCGTCGGATTTTGCGTGGGCGCTGACTGTTACTCCTGAATCTGGTCGGACTGGCTGGAGGTGGCGGTGGCAGCAATGAAAGCAGCCCATCCCAAAAACTTTCGTTCCTCGTCATACTCCTGGAGAGTCGAAGGAGTCAAGTCCACAGTTTGCGTGCCACTGACAGTGGCTCGGCCTGTTACAAGCGGAAGCCTGCAGTGGCGGCCCAGCCGGATACCCCATGCAAGCTAGAAATCACTTCAGATGGAACACGATGGGAAAAGCATCCATTGAGAACATTTGTTTTTTTCGCTTTGGGCTGTTTTGCTTACTATTGGCAGGGCTGCACCTGTGCTCCTTGAGCCACAAGTCTGCAGCCATGCGGTGCTTGGGTTTTGGGTTGTTGTCGGTTGGCTCTCTGCGTTTCTGAACTAAATTCTGAGGATCACCGTCTGCACATTCGGTCAGCAAGCCAATCGGAGAAGTGCACGCGTTGGGGGTTCTCAGTTGTTAGAAGCTCCTCGAACCAGCTCGAGGGAGAGAAGAGGTGACATGAAGTAAAAGGCTCCATTCAGACTAGGCACTTTCGTATGCCTTCGTCGGCCTCCAGAAACAAGAAATCCTCTGGCGACAGATGGTCTTTGCCCTTGCTGCAAAGGCCTGGAAACGAGGATCTGCACTCCATGAAGCGACACCCTTCGCTAGCAACGCTTATAATGTCTGAGGCTGCGACAGAAAAGGTCCCGCAATTCGTCACCTCCCGGGTCGAAGCCGTGCCTCCGCTTGTCCGCTGGCACTGCGCAGAATGAAGTATCGCATCAGAAGTAAACACCCGTCCTCCGGCAAAACGACACGAACTGTTCGAGACTCAACTCCATGTTGTTGCCCGCTTCCTGCACATCTTCGAGGAAGTTCCTGGCAGTTGGGTGGCATCTGCATGGCATGAAGCAGCAACGCAAAGCCTGCATCGGAACTTACGAATATATACGAATTTTGCAGTCTGGCCTCATGTTCCCAAACTGTGCGAGGAATCGTCGGAAACGGCAGACCAAAACTCCCGCCTCAGAGTCAACAGTCAGCCTTTCATCGTGACGGAATCTTGCTGCTCGGAAACACAGAGGTTCCGACATCGGGCGCTATCTCCACGAGGCATAAAGCTTCGCAACTCCCGAACTGCACTAAGAGGACATGTGCTGCAGCCTCACCGGAGCTTGTGCGTCGCATGTCTGAGCCGTTCCCTTCAAGCATGTTCTGCGCCTCTCCACCCTCCAAGCTCAAGCCAAGTGCAACACGACACAAATCCTGCCATACGAGTTTGGGGAGTCACAAAAAAATTATGTTGCAACTCTCACCGGCTCCTGCTTGCTTGCGCGCTGGCGAAAATCCGGATCCAAATGTGTCCTTTCTTCCAGTTGGTGCGACAAATTGTTTTTGTCCGTGTTGCACGAAAGGAACTAGGACGTGTTTGTGCACGCATGTCCACGCCTCCAACCATGCAAGAAGCTTCCACCTCCTACGTCTTTCAAGCGCTGCAGAAATCGACTGCGAATGAGCGAAGCCACCTGCTTCAAGAGCTGTCTACTGAAAGTTCTTCGAAACAGAAAGTGTTGCACCATGACCTCGCGCTTGCCATCCAATGTTATGGGGCCGACCTCCCAGGGCCAGGCACTCTGCAGCTTCGAGACGTTTTGCCTCCGGACCCCTCCGGAGCTTTGGGCATTTCAACAAATGCCCCAGTGTGACACGAGTTTCTGCGATCAGTTAAGACCGACAGGAACACGCAAGGAGTTGGTCGACATTCAAAGCGAAGTCCGCATGAATGCACAGAAGTATCAAGTCACCTCATCGTCCATTCGGAGAAGGGTGGCGGCCTGAGCAGCAACGACCGGACTTGAACGACGTAGCCAATGAAAGTTTCTTCTCAGGACCCGGCCCATCAGGCCCATCACAGCAACATGTGAAACAAAGGAAGCCAAGCTTTGAGCCTACATTCCTCTGTCCACACGGACAACAGTGTTGCACACAACAACACATCCGTGGTTCGTCTAATCCTCAGGCACCATGCCATCCGAGCACAACCCTGCACACCGCAGCAACTTTGCAACTCAGGCCGGCGCTTCTTCAGCTTTCCATTTTCACCATCGGGGAATCTAGCATTCCACCTCGCCATAACATGATCCGGCACCGCTTAGCTTCCAGTGCCCGACTATCCGATCCCAAGCATTGGGGCCAACACGATCCATTGGAAACGTCGGGGTGGATTCGAACTTGGCATGCGAATGCTGCAATCGTTGCGAAGACTCGGACACATCGACTGGGTGCACTCCACAACTGACCATGGACTGCATGAATATTTTCGGATTGGGATGATGTACGACAAGTTGCGTACATGGGCGTGGGTTGGTTCGGGACTCACCGCCTTCGCCTGTTGAACCGCCTGCCATCCGTCAACATGGTTCGCTGGCGTCGACGACGTGATGGGTCGCACACTGGGTGCTTTCACTTCTCGCCCAGTTCCCACGAAAGCTTCCGTTTCGAGGGCCCCATGCAGCTGATGACCCAGTGTCACTGGGTTCACGAAGTATAGCGAACAAATTGGGGCGCAAGCACACCTTCAAATGTTTCGTGCTTCGCACCTCACCTCGCACCACGGCTGTGGGAAAGCATGCGGGGCAACTTGCATAGGCCGGTTGAGACGATAGAACTTCAAATCTGCTTCCATTATTCATGTCCGAAAGGACTCCGTTTAAATTGAACTCAAGCAGTCGTCGCCCCAACGCCATCATTCTGAATCGACTCTGCATGCTCGCGACACATCGCTTGGGCTTAAACCATAGCCCTTGTTGCATCCTGCTTTTCGCACAAACCACCCTGCACAGCACGGGTTGTGAAACCCTTTCGCTTGAAGTCGTAAGCTTTTGGTGTTCTCGTTCGCTTGCAATGCTACATCTTTTGTCGCAGTTTTCGCAGCAGCTGAAGAAACCGGGCCCCCCCCACCCACCAAAGCACGAACGAAGCTCCAATGCCGAGCGGCGCCCGCCCTGAACCCAAACCCTCATGACCCGACCGTGCTGCATGCGATACCCCTGTGCCCCGTCGTGCTTGCCCGTGCTGCACGACTTGCCAACCTTCACCGTGCACATGAAGGTGCCGCACCAGGCCCATCAGGGCATCACAAGTGACGCTAAGGAGCGGTGTTTCCCCATGTTCCGGACAACGAAAGCGCACCGCGCAACTGCAAAGGCTAGTAGCGGCAGCCAAGATCACAGGACGAGAGGCACAAGCCCGGCTCGAAAGGTGCACGCTCCAACGCCTATAGCCTATAGCCTATAGGTCTCGGTCTCTGCGTGCTGCGGGTTTTGGCCTGCTTAGCGACACGCAGAACCGCCGCAGGAGTGTGGCGTCTGTGTCGGTGTGGTTTTGTTTTCTTCGCACCTGTTTGCCGACTGCAAAACGAAACGTTCGGGTCCCTGTGCTACCTGCGCACTACGGGCCAAGGAGGCTTGGGGTAGGAGGGACTGCGTCGTGCAGCACGTCCTCCTGCGGTGGGAGCTGGGCACCAGGCAGTGCACCACCGACGTAAAGCGCTCCGAGCAGCGTGGCGGCAAGTGTGCTTTGCAAAGCCACGCTCAAGAAACTCCACCAGCGGCGCAACTAACCCTGCCTGGCCGCGGGACGGAGGGCGGCAGGGGCGCACTGGGCTCGGAGGCGCAAGAGCTGGGTGACCACACGAAGCCACTCAAAACTCCAGCACTTTCCGTGCGAGGACGCATGGTCGCAGCAGCTCAGGGTAAGCTGCGCGCTTACGCCTTTCAGCGACAGTTATGGCAGCAGCGTCCCGACAGGCAGCAGAGGGCTGGGGCCTCGCATCGCGAGTCGGAGCCGACACGAGGGTGACATCGCATCGAGGCGGCGCGATCGGCTTGGTTTACCCGAGGGGCGGACGTGCGCGCCAACCACTGCTGCGCCACAACTTGGCCCCGGGTCCGATGGCCTCGCACGCGACGCGCACCCATGCATGCTCTGGCGGCTTAGCGCGGCGCACGGGCAGTCCGGTGCGAGGCACGTGGCGTGGTGGTCACCGGTGGCTCGCCACCTGCCGGCAAGGGTGCATGTGGCTTGGGAGGCCGTCGGCCCGGACAAACAGGTGGTTTTTTGGTAGTCGCTAGCGCACACAACCGCACCCAACGTCCGCTCCGACGACCGCCTGGACCTCGTCATCTACGGGCGGGGCTCTTGCAGCTGGTACGGGATCTCGTCCGCCTCCGTGCCCCACGAGCTCCACCAGCCATGCGACGAGCTGCATCGACGGCACGGGCCAAGCATTGACGGACCATACTGCTAATGTTGGTCCAACACGACACAAACGCAGCTTTTGGGTCAGTTTGGCCTGCACCGCTCCAACCATCGGCCCCGTGGCTGGACCGAGTGCTGGACCTCGCGGATGCGGCAGGTCCGAACCGCCTGCCGCGTCGCGGCCAGTAGGTACGTTGTAGTGTCGTGGTGTAGACAGCTACGCCGCGCACAAGGCATGCAGCAGGAACCCACGCCATGCCGGTGCAAAGGAGGCGTGACCAAAAAACCACCCGCCCTGCCCCAGGAGAAAGACCGGGATGGCAGCGAACGGCATCAAAAGCCTTGCACAAGCGCGCGCTCGAGACGCTTTTCACTGAGCTTGACCCTGCGTCCCGAGTGCTGCTGCTGTCGCAAGGTGGCGATGCCGCGAGCTGTGCCTTCACGGCTTTCCCTACGAGCGCCGACACCCGAGTACCGGACGCGGAGTTCCGAGTGATGCTGCTCCGCAGACTCCGCCTGCCCCTCCCGCTCGCCCCGAAACGTTGCGCTTGCGGGGGACTCCTGGACGCATACGGCGACATACGGCGACCACCGGTCGGCCTGCGCACAGGTGGGTGTCCTGGCGCGACGAGCTGGCCCCTTGGAGCGGGCAGCGGCTCGCATCTGCAGGGAGGCTGGTGCCCGCGTCGCAACGCACGTCGCCCTCAGAGACCTCAACCTCGACGTGCCCGCGAGCGACGGACGCCGCATCGAGGTGGTCGCCAACGGCCTCCCCCTATGGCAGGGCGCCCAAGTCGCCGTTGACGCAACCCTTGTAAGCCCGGTCCGCCGGGATGGCCAGCCCCGCCCGCGGGCTGACCAGCAACCGGGCCTGGCCTTGGCACAAGCAGTCGACCGCAAACGCCGGACTTACCCTGAACTGAGCCAAGCCCGGCGCTGCCGACTGGTCGTGTTCGGCGTCGAGGTCGGAGGGCGCATCAGCCCGAACACGCTCACCTTCTTGCGACTGCTCGCGAAGGCGCGGGCCCGCCAAAGGGCGCCGTGGTGTGCGGTCGGAGCGCAGCGAGCCATGACGCACCGCTGGACGGCTCTTGCCTCGTTCGCCGCCCTTCGCGCGCATGCGTGCTCATTGCTCGAGCTACCCGTCGCGGGGCCCGGTGACCCAACGGACGGCCTGGAACCCCCACTCGGGGAGCTCCTGGCGGGCCACCAGCCCCCGGCGCCCAGTCGACTCTGAGCGCGCAACGTGGGGTGCAGACGGCCCCGCACACAGTAGTGACTCGGGACTTTCTTCGCTGTCGTAAAAAGGCGCGCAAAAAAAAAAGAAACTTTCCAAAGCTGTTGTTGTTTTTCGCATGCGTTTTCTGGGGCAGCTCAGAGCTCGGAATTGTGATATACGTTATTCAGCTTGACGAGATATGGACAAGTGCCGTGATTCTACAAGTTTTGCATTTATGCCCGTTCCCTGTTACATCCTGTTACCACATTGTTCGGGCTCATGCCGGCTGCGCCGGTTTCGTTACATCTTGGTCTTTTTTTTTTTTCCACGCACCTTTTTGACGACTGCTAAACGAGACGTCCGGGTCCCTGTGCTATACCTGCGCACTACGGGTGAATGGAGCTTGGGGAAGGGGGGACTGCGCGCCTTCACCCCCAGCGCGCATCGGCAAGGACCTCATGCAAGGCAGGCATGGGCCCGTCGCCGAGCTCGGCGGCAGGGGGGAGCTCGAGGAGCGTGGCTGCGTAGGCGCGCTGGGCAGCGACAGCCAACAGTCCGGACCAGCGAGCGACCCAGGAGGCGACTGCGGCGGACCGCAGGTGGGCCGGCACCGACGCTGCCCGATGGCCAGCGAGGAGGCACAGGAAATGTACGGCTTCGGTACCAAACCTGCCGCCAACTTCGACGCCGACGACGACTAGCCGACAGCGGTGCGCTCGGTCCAACTCCGGGTAGGTTTGGGTGCGCTTGCGGCGCGCGGCGGCGGCGACCGCGCAGCCCGGCTGGACGTCGGCGCGCGGGTGGGCCTCGCCGCGTCTGGTGAGGGGGGAGACGATGGTCGCATCGACGGCGAGTTGAGAGCCATGCCAGAGGGGCAAGCCGTTCGCCACAACTTCGATGCGCCGCTCGTCAGAGACAGGAACATCAAGGTTCATGTCTGCGAGCCGCACGTGGCGTGCGACCCGCGCCCCAGCTTCACGGCAGACGCGCGCGACGGCATGCTCCAAGGGCAATGCGCGAGTGGCGAGCACGCCCGACGTCGCACAGGCGGTGCGGTGGTCGCCGAGCGGGTCGAGTACACCGTGGCAGCTGCATCTGCGCGGTGCGAGCGGGAGGGGGAGGCGCAAGCGCCGCAGCAAGAGGACACGGAACTGCGCGCTGGGGATGGCGACGTCATCGCGGGTGGGCAGAACGTTGAGGGCGCGGGAGGCGAATTGCCCTGCCTGCGAGAGCAGCAGCGCACGAGACGCAGGAGTGAGGTCAGCAAGATGCGTCTCGTACGCGCGCTCATCGCACGCACGGGCAGCGACGCGCTGCCATCCCCGGAACGGCCAGGGG